GTCGGGACATAACTCTGAAACCGTGGCTGACTACCAACAAAAAANNAAAAAAAAAAAAAAAAACACAAATTATTTTCCGATGGGGCTTAATTTTTATTAGACAGGTCGATGACCCATTATACTTTACTAATAGAATTCATATTTATAATATAAAATATCAGACTTTCATTTATGTTTTTTAGAGTAAGATTTTTTTTTGTTTAAAAAAAAAACATGCTTATTTGTTCAAAAAAATATGATTGTTTAACCGGTAAGTCTGCTTAACAGCATTTCTATTGATGACAATATATTGGGTAAAGTATATGTATTTATATATTAATATTATCACATAACCTAACGTATAGCCTAATCGACCCACTACACTTTTTTAAATATATTTCGATATGGTCACTACAAAATAACACTATGGTTAATGCTACAAGTACATAATAGTGTACATAATGGTGTACATAACACTCACATTGAGTGGGATCCACTAAAAATAAAAAATCAAATGGACCCACTCAATGTGAGTGTTATGTAAACCATTATGTACACTATTATGTACTTGTAGCATTACTCTAACACTATAATTCCAACGAAAAATTTCAACGGCAAAAATTTCCGTTGAAAATTCTAATGAATATTCCAACAAACTTAATTTTATGTTGGATTAAGTGTTGGATAGTTGAGGAATTCCAACGGATTTTTTCCGTTGGAATAGCTGTAGGAATTTATTTTCATAGGATTTTCCGTTGGATATTTGTTATTCCACCGGCCGTTTTTTCAACGAATTTTTATACATAGGAGTATCCGTTAGAATAGCTATTCCAACGGAAATATAAAAAATTCCAACGAAAAATTTCCGTTGGAATGTAAGAGTTTTTTTTGTAGTGGGTTGGATGATTGGCCTATAAAACGTTTTGGTTGAACCGCATCGTCTTTAATCAAGAATCGGATAAACCTACGAAAGAGTGTTGAGATGGACCCAGACGTTGACACTTTGATGCCTAAATTAGAAATCAAATACTTGTAACAATGTTTAATTAAGCACTTAGCTTATAAAGTGAATTTTAATTCCCTTGATTAGCGTCTTATTCCCTTATAAATGGGGTTTTTTGTAACAACTAAGAATTAAACATAGGGAAACGTTACGGTCTCGTTACGGAACTATTTCATCGCGGTTTGTAACCGTTAGTCAACTATCCCGACGGTTACATGATGATCGAACAGCTACAAACCCACTATACCAAAAAAAATGTACAAAGAAAAAACGGTTACAAACCCCGACTGAATGGTTCCGTAACGGAATTGTAGCATATCCCTTAAACATATACTCAATGACCAAATATATGTAAGTCTACTTGGATAACTTTTAAGAATATTTATGGATATTCAAGCGAATATTTTATATTTTTTTAATAATTAATAACCCAACTCGAATCAGACTAATTTTATAAGTGTTGCATCAAATTTATAGGCATTCCAACTAGACATGGCCAGGCGGACCCGGACCCGGCCCGCTGGGTCGACGGGCCTCAATTGATGGGCTCGTAATCGGCCCGGAAATTCCTATGGGCCGGTTCAGTTGAACCGGCCCGACGAACCGCCGGGTTAAAAAAATAAAAAATAAAAAATAAAAAAACAACTATGACCCGTCGGAAAAACCAGAACCGGTCCCGGCCCGGTGGGTCAAAGAAAAAAAACAGGAGAACCTTAACCGGACCGCATTGGCTGCGGTCCGGTTCAAAAGCCCGCCACTGTTCATGCCGGTACCGGTGCCGGTTCGGTCTGGGCCGGTACCGGTTCACGGGTCGGGCCACGGGCCGGTTCATGTCTAATTCCAACACATTTCTTCACAATGAATAATAATCAAAAGAGAGCGAACATATACAATGAAAGATAATTCCCTACCCACGGTGAACACTGGACACATGTTAATATGTCCATCGCTTACGTGGCATGCACACATTGGTGATGTATTTTTTTAACATATTAACATCACCAATGTGTGGATGCCACATAAGCGGTAGGCATATTAACATGTGTCTGCCGTGAAATATGTACTAGAATATATGGTGAATGTACTTGTACATTTTTTTTTTTTTGGTACAAGGACTTTCCGGTTTCCGTTCCCACAGGGGAACCGACTAATCTAGAATCGATTCGGGTAGGACCACAAGGGCGGCAAAGCTCTCCCTCAAGAGTTTTTAATACTGCTGCATTTCCAAGGCTCGAACACGAGACCACTGATTAAACTGGAAGAGACTCAAACTATCTCATCCAAGCGTTCTTGAGTGTACATTTTAATAATATAGTATAAGCATTTTAATTTCCCCAAAGGTATATTAAATTCTTGCCAGGATAGGTGGTTGGAAGCCCAAAAATCATAGTAGTATAATTTGTCGTTGGGAAGGCAAAATTTAAAATGGGAACCATAAAAAAGAGCAAAACATTATATATAGGGTTGTTTTTGTTGATTCCAAGACCATAAATGTGCCTGAATCATCAAGATTATATTTAATCTGAGTACCATTTATAATAGAAAATATTTGCATGGCTGTAACATTTTAAGCTAATTTCATCTTCTAGCTCAAACAATCAATATTACTGGAGCTTCAAGAAGTGCAAACGAGCTGAGCTCGAGCTCTTCATCGAGCCTTTATCGAGTCAAGCTCGTATTTGAATAAATATGCTCGAACAAAGTCGACAGTGCAGAAAATTTTCGTAAAATATTAATCCTATTTCTCGATCTTAATGAGCATGTTAACAAGTCAGTAGAGCTCGACTTGCTGACAAAGCGAGCTGGACGTCGACTCGTTCATCACATGAACTGAGTAGAATTTGGACCTTTATAAGCTGAGTCGAGCTGAACTTACAAACGACTCAATTTGTTTATCAGCTCTACTCATATATAAGAATATTCTTACTCAGATATCAACAATAGTAATATTTATTACCTATTTAACATTCCATCTCCTCAATTTTCTTGTACTTGATATAAAAAATTGCAAACTTATTATCCTTACATAAGTATACTGTCTTGTGTAATCACTTTCAAAACAAGGGTACACAACTTTTTAAGCAAAGCTCCATTCTAGATTGAACAATATATATATATAAAAAAAAAATGAACAAATAAAAAATAAAAAAGAAATAAACATGTATTATGATTAATACTAATAATTGGGCTAGCTAAAGAACTATAGGGAATGATTGCAATAGCTCACTACGTACAATTTATAAAGCTAAGAGTGCAAAAGATCCATACATGTCATATTCTTTGAAAGTATAGTGTATAAAATTTTGGACACTTTATCTTTTGTCCCTTCAAATTCATAAATTTACGCAACCTTTTAGCTCCTCATATTTTATGGCTCCAAAGAAACGAACCAAACCATATAATGTAATGACCACATTACCTTTTAATTTTTATCATAATTGAGGGGCTATATATTAACAGAGATTTCATTTTTTTTTTTCATTAAATTGGTCACTATAAAAGAATGTAAATTGCAATGCACTAATATGCTAAATGTTTTCTTTAACAACAAATTAACTAGTTAATAAATCTGATTAATTAGTGCATCAATTTTATAACTGTAAATATCCCTTTTTTATATATAATTTCAGAACGCGCTGATTCTAGGTGACAACTTAACAACAGTCCATAATATGTGACAAAATATTATGTTTTGTAGTATGGCTCGGATAAAAATTAATATTCTTTTATACCAGATAAACTTAGGTTCGGATTGCCATATATTTACACATTTAATATATTTAAACTATTCCTTATAAATCTATTTGTTATCTTCTTTCTATAATTTGCATATTTTCTTACTTTTCAAATTTTGCGATTTTTTTTCATATTATTATTTTATGTGTTTTAAATAAAAATATTATAAATAAAATCAAATGTCGTATATAAATTAGGTTTCAGATTTAAAATAATATTGTTAATTCACTTAGTTCTTTATTATAAATTGTTATTTATTTATATTTTCTAACTTCAACAAAATAAATAATTTTTTTTTTCATTTTTGGTTGCACATTTAATTATTTTATCAACCACCGTGTAGCACACAGATGTTGTACTAGTATTATATTATTTTCGAACAAAATCCTAACTTAGTGGATAAAATTAAGTCATCTTAGCCACATTGATGAACAATTTTGCAAAATTTACCTTATTGTTTGTGTTGATTATTTGATATTTCAATAATTAATAAAGCATTTGTTATAGGAAAATGCAACGGTTATGTTACGGTACCATTCCTTCTAGTGTTTTCACCGTTGGATCATCTATCTTATGCTAATTACATGTGTATTCAACGGTTAAAACACTCGACGAGATGGCTTGGGTCTCTTCCATCTTAACCAGTGGTCTCGAGTTCGAGCCCTGGGAATGCAGCAGTGTTGAAACTCTTGAGGGAGAACTTTGCCGCTCTTGTGGTCCTACACGGCTCGATTCCAGATTAGTCGGTTACCCTGTGGATCCGGAAACTGGAAAGTCTCTGTACCTTTGTTAAAACTTTTAATTCAAATATGTGTCATCCTCACATTCTATGGGAAATTCAATTGAATCCAAAGTGGTAGATAAGGTTTAGTATAATTTGACACCAAAAAGTGATTTGCTCAAACGGCCTAACCCCCCATATCCCGTTATCAGCTACGCCCAACTATTCAAATATTCCTCAATTATAGAGCCCCACGTTTAGTTGTACAGTGACACACAATATATAATAGTACTATACATACACATAAATATATGTACGTGTATGTCTTTCTATATATAAATATATATATATATATATTGGGTAGAAACACAAATATCATTTTTCATTTACAATAAACATTCGAAATAAATATCCCACAGACCCCAAGTATGATTCTACCGTTTTCATTTCCATCTTTCTCTCACTTGCACTCTCCAATCTCTTACTGATTTTTTTTTTTTCTCGAATTTTTCTTCTTAGTTTTCCGAACGAAGGACATGCAGCCTGTTAGCAGAGAATTTAGCGGCATTAGCGGCGTTGGATCGCTCCTCAACCAGCACCAAATCTCGCCGCTCGCTGACTTCGTACCCGGGATGCTGCCGGCGGATCCCCAATTCGATCCGGCGGCCGCCGCCGCACACGGAGATTTCCTCGAGCAGATGCTCTCCTCCGCCGCCGGCGCCTTCCCCTGGGAGAGCGAACACGCGCCGCCGCTGCTGGAGGAACAGACGTCCGCAGCGTCGCTGGCGTCCAAGCTGCGGCAGCACCAGATCAGCGGCGGCGCGGCCAGGGCGTTGATGCTCCAGCAGCAGCTACTGAGCCTTGCCGGCGGAGGCGGCGGTCTCCACTGTAACGGCGGAGACGACGGAGCGCTGTTCTCCATGCCCAACGGCGACCAAAGCGAGGTCGTTGATGGTAACTCCTTCAAATCTATTAACACGGTCAGTTTCCTTTTCTTCTTTTTTTTTTTCCTCCTTTTTCCGTTTTAAAATTTAATCGTATTAAATTACTGGGTAATTAGTTTCAGTCAAATGATGAATCCATTAAAGCTCTCTTCAATGGCTTCACCGGATCCATCGGTCAGACTGCAAATCAGCCTCAGCAGTTTCACCCTCCTCAGGTTACTTCCAGTTTTTTTATTTTATTTTATTTTATTTTATTTTTAGTCCCAATTCCATTTAAAATATTGAATTATATTTTCAGTTCGTTCGTGTATTTTTTTTTACTCTTTTTGTAACAATTTAATTCAACGTGGAGGATGACATTTACAGGCCCAGAGCTTTGGTGCCGCCGCCGGGGCTGTGGCGGCGACGGCCATGAACCAACCAGCTTTGAGCGGCGGAGGAACATCTTCTGCCGGAGGACAGCCGCGGCAGAGGGTGAGGGCTAGGAGAGGACAAGCAACTGACCCTCATAGCATAGCTGAAAGGGTAATCATCTTGTACTATGCAGTACAAATTCAGTTTCAATTTTTTTTTTACCTTTTTTTTATTGTTTTTAATTGTTTCTTTTGGAATTTGAAATTAAATTCAGTGTAGCTTTTGTCATCCTTTTGATTTGTTGCTTTCTGATTGTCCTGAGAATATGTCGTTTTATGAGTTTTGTTTTGTTTTGTGGTTGGAAATGTGGGCAGTTACGGAGAGAGAGGATTGCGGAGAGAATGAAGGCGCTGCAGGAGCTCGTACCTAATGCCAATAAGGTCTTTCAACTTCTCCATTATAATTAATTATGTGTTAATTATTTTTAAGTCATAATAGTAATTAATATTTTGAATTAACTACTCATATTTAACTCACAAATGGTATTGACTCAGCGAATAACTGTCATAAATTCACCTATGAATTATATATGAAGGGAGATATTACGGTCTCGTTTTGGAACCATTCCGTCGGGATAATAAATGTATCAAAGGGTGAAAATGAATTGACGAATAATGCTCCCATACCCACGGTGGGCACAAGTTACCCATCTGGCATACACACATTGGTGATGTTAATATGTTAAAAAAAATACATCACCCATGTGTGCATGCCACATAAGCGGTGGACATATTAACATGTGCATACCGTGTGTAGGGGAGCATTACTGATGAATTGGCTACTCTATTTTTCTCTAAAAACATCAAACAGAAAATTATAAACCAAGAGACTTGAAACTTTTTACTAATCAATTGGCAATGAAACTTTTCCTTGTGATCTTTTCAATGAATCTGGGAACAGTTAAAAGGGAGTCATGCTAAATTAGTTCTTACCATAAATTAAACTATTTGGATTATCAAATTGGAGTGTCACGTGCTATTAGGGAGGCATTAAGTATAGAGATCAAAGGATCTCACATGTGGGGGTGTGTCCATTTTGGTGATTGAGATTTGAGAGAATGTATTAGGTGATGGAAGCATAGCTGGAAAAAGTATATAATAGAAAGGAATCATAGTCAGCAGATGATCAAGCATATGAATTAGACGGTTTTGCTATGGAGCCATCGGATGGCTCGACTTATGGAGCCATCCATTGTTATTCACAAATGATGTATTGACACGTGTCCTGCAATAAATGCACATTGGACATGTGTCAGTACATAAAGTCATGGATGGCTCCATAAAGGAGCCATCCGATTGCTCCATAGATTTTCTGATGAACTAGAACTTGCCAATAACTATAATTATTAGTTTTTATTATTTAAATATTTGGTAAGAATTGTGTTTGGTAGCTAGTTCCCCTTTTTCTTACTTTTATCTCTTTTGACTTTCATCTATTCTTTTTTTTTCAAGAACAATTTTAAAAAACACTTTCCTATAAGTTCATTAGATCAATAGCTAGTTGTTGACTTTTGAAATGTATCCATTGTGCTTTTATTGATGTTTGTTAAAATTAGTTGCACCAAACACTTGTGTAATGTAATTCCAAAAGTACTCCTAAACTTGTACAAAGTGGTTATGAATTCAATAATGAATGGGAATTGAAAAGTGTTAATATTAACTAGTACACGACCATATGTGCACATGTATAGAGTCAAACAAAATTTTATAAGTTATATATATGTATATAGCATTTAAATCCATAAGTTAAATAATGAGCATATCACATTTTATATAATTTATTATTAGTAAAAAATTACAATATATATAATTTATTTAACTTGCATATAAATATAATATTGTAATTTTGAGTGATAGTGGCCGATTAATTGTATGAAGAAAAAATATTGAAATTATTAGTATACTAATTGTGTGCCAAGTTTAAGGAGAGTTTGGTTATGTCATAAAAAATAATTAAGTAATTTTAATAAACAAATATTTAATGAGCTGAATAAACGATAATAATATTAATTTTAATTAAATAGTTTGATTTTTTTTGTAATTATATTGAAAGAAAAAAACAATGATTTGTAGTAAATAATGCGACTTTCTGATTTGCTTGTAATAGTTATTATGTAATAAAATAAATAACAAATATAAATACTTGATTATCGAAAAAATGTAACGATTTTCTTTCCAAAAATTAATTGAAAAAATGAGCGAGAAAGAAAGTTATTATTGTATTGAATTCATTGCCTACACATTATGTATAGATATAGATTAGATCTGGTAATCTCATGAGATATGTAACTAATATTTTCTTAATGAAATGACAGACTGACAAAGCCTCAATGCTGGATGAGATAATCGACTATGTGAAATTCCTCCAACTCCAAGTCAAAGTACTCTCTCTCTCTCTCTCTCTCTCTCTCTCTCTCTCTCTCTCTCTCTCTCTCTCTCTCTGGTTGGTTTTATGATAAATTAGTACCATCTATAGTATTGAAAAATGATTCTTTTTATGTGATTACAAACTGATATGGGCTAGTCAATATTTAACTACTTGGTGCAGTTGGTTATTGCAAAATTAATTAAATAATAGTTTCATTAAGTTCCTTTACATAGGGCCTGTCTAAGAATGAAATAATGATCATTATTTTATGCTCTTATATGAACAGGTTTTGAGCATGAGCAGATTAGGAGGTGCAGCAGCTGTTGCCCCCTTGGTTGGTGATATGACCTCTGAGGTAAATATTCATTATTACCCTTGCCACAAAAATTCCATGGAGCCATCCGATGGTGCGCTTATAGAGCCATCCACCACTTAATGTACTGACACTTGTTTAAAGTGGTATTTATTATAGGACACGTGTCAATACACTATTTGTGAATAAGTGTGGATGACTCCATGAGTCGAGCCATTCGATAGCTCCATAGCAAAACTGACAATAGCTAATTAAATATTCATAGAGTGGTGTAAGCTGTGAAAATAAATCTCAATACTTGGTAATTTTATAGACAGCTTTTTTCAGATAGTATAATGCACACTGTAGCTGTTGCATGTTCTAAGGAAAGCATGTGTAGGATTGCACTTGGTCAACATTAGTATAAATTTGGCATTCTTTTAGGCCAAAATAAAAAAAAAACCCTGAAAAGTGAAAAGCACTTGACAACAATTTTGTGACAAGCCATAAAACTTGCTTGACTTAAGGCAGAAAGTAGCAAATAGGCAATAGCTCATCTTGACAAAAAAATAAATAAATAAATAAATAAAATAAAAATTAAAATTTGTGGTGTGTCAAAACTCAAAAGACTTCTTTGAGAAATACTGAACACCAAAACATTAGCAGCCCCACAATTTGCTGCCTATCACTCTCAAAATTCCCCATCATCACAAAACAACAAAACCATAAAGTACCACGCG